ATTTTTTCCTATATGAAGGTCCTCCAACATTTTGCAAACAAAAATCCCAATAACTTTTTTATTTATCAATGGATTTTTAAAATTTAAAAACCACAGTTCTTAGAATTTACTCTAGTTTCATTTAAGCCCATTTTTAAGCAAATCGGATGAAAATTTAATTTTTCATTGTCATTGCTAGAGAATAGAGGTGGCCATTTGAATAGCCTCACTTGGTTTGGCCAATGAAATGGATGTTTACTCATTGTACGAGGTCATGCTCTTATAATGGAATCTTCCTGGGTCACTGGATCATAGAATAATAGAATAAAATTTGGGCGCTTTTTCGGTAGTTACCTCCCCGCAATTGTTATTCGCTGGTTTTGGCCTCAAGAGTAGGGGGGTTTCAGGGGCTGGTGGGGGGGGTTTCAAGGGGGCATGGCCCCCCTGAATGAAACTATGATTTAATGTTTTGCAGTTGTTCGGTTTGATCTTAGCTCGCCGCACATCAAACGTATAGAATAGATCTAGATCTAGATTTAGGCTCAAATAAGGGGGGTGAGAACTACCGAAAAGGCACCAAAATTTGTAAGTGGAATATTTTCACTTATGCGACTCCTCTGTCACACGCGCGGCTCCCGACTTGCGGAAACTCGGCTACCCCACCTTCATATTAAAAAAAACAAAACATTTGAATATTGTGCAGGTTAGGAGAGCACAACATTTCGGGAGCATTCAATGAAGTCCAAAAGGAGTAAACAAAATTGCTACCTGAAATGCAACCCTTAATTTTTACTTCTGTAACGTTTGGCATTCCTCGGGTTTCCGGAGTGTGGTAACTTGGTGATCTAGAGATATCCACTTCGAGGCAATGCCTCATTATAATTTATCTTTTTATAGATAGCAACAAAGGTCAGGGGAACAGTTCATATCGAAAGAGGTGGTTTGACCAATGATATTGAGCAGGTAGCCTCGTTTCCACAAGATTCAATTTTCTCCTGTCGGCGATGCGGCCGTACCCCCCACTCCACTTAGATTAGACCATAGCTGCCACTTTCCCGCTAAATAGCGGAAACTCCGCTTCATCTAGCTTTTCCCGCTACTTCCTCCTTCCTCCGCTGGACCGCTCTCGGTCGCAAATTGCGATACTTTTTTTTTTACATGCGGAAAACAGCGAACCGGGAGAGAGACGAAAACGCAGCTTGTGCATGACGCATGCCCGCCCGTAGCTTTCTACTTCCGTTCTTCTAGGCCTAGCGCTAGTTTCACTTTGTTTATTGTGGAGCAACAATGTCGATCGGGCATCGGGACGTTGGCGCGCCGAGTTGTCTTTGAAAACAGCGGAAATTCGAGAGAAATTGATGCAGAATGCAAAAATAAAAGGAGCTGGAATGAGAAAGAAGCAGCCGGTATGCGACTTGAAAAAGTTCATTAGAAAATTGAACAAGCGGCTTGCTGCACTTTGCGTTTGGTTTGATACACTCTTGTACAATTGCGGTCCCATTTGTTTACATGACGGCTATTGTGGCTGTTGAAGTGAATCTAGATCTAGATAATCTATCTCTAGATGTAATCTAGATTTACACATATTTAATTTATTTAGATATCTAGATCTAGATTAGATGGTGTAGGCTATAATTTTAATGCAGTTTAGATAGATCTACACACTACAGGGGCACTACCAAGTTAAGTGCGAACAGGACCGCAATTGTACAGGAGTACTCAGTACAGTGGCAAAGGTGTTGCCTCATTGACCCAATACTGCGCCAGCTCAACATCGATGTACAAGTTTAAAGTGACCTTTTTATGAGACACCAGCTGTCAACAAACACTGGATTTTTAGTCACCAATTCTAAACTGTGTCAAATTGACTCAAATGCTTGTTTGTCAACTTAATGCCTTTGGGTTTGGTTGTTTGTTGTTGGGTTTTTTTTTTTGGGGGGGGGGGGGGGATTCAAATACATTTTAATTCAGTTGCCTGTGGTTAACAAATTTGACAGTTTTCCCTTCCAAAACCATAGGCTAGATTTTCCACTATATATTGCCTCTGGATTTCACTGGTTTTACTCTGTCCTTCGGAGAGCGCGCGTCCGCCTTCGCTTGAATTTCCGCCTTTTTTGAAATTCCTGAGTGGCAGCTATGATAGACACGAAGCGAATGATAGAGAGAGGTCAGGCAATGACCCAGTATAATAAATGATCCTTCACATTGAAAGGCCACAACTTAAAAATAACATTGCAGAATCTTAGGAAATGACATAGCATTGTTTAGTTTTAAGCTAGTAAAAACGAAGGGGGGGGAGGGGGTGGATGTTTGTCGATCTTTCTGGGGTCAAAGGTGTTCTCAAGCTTGGAGTGAATACTCAAGACTCAGACGAAGAACAAAGTGTCACTTGGTTGCACAACAGCAGGAAAACGAAACCGAGACGTACCTTAATTATCAATTAACGCTCGGACTAGCCTCGCGGCCGACTTAACCGCTGAGCAAGACCACTTTAACTTTAGATCTAAATATCTAGTAGGCCTATAATTTACAATTATATTATACAAGTCTAGATCTAACTAATCTAAATGTAGGCTAGGCTTACTTTATAATAATTAGATCTAGATTCCTATTGCACCGAACTAGATCTAGGCCTAAATGACTAGGCCTAAACATAAGAAAAATAAAAGTTAGTTCAATTAATTACTACGTCTACTAGAATCTAGATTCTACTTCGTAATGAGTAGGCCTAATGGTTAGTCGAAATAGTACAGTGGGTGTCACATTCAACGAGAAGTCGGCTCCAATGAGGCAATCCTTAATCCCCGATTTTTACCTCTATATCTTTTTGTAAATGTATGTCAGCACCAACGAGGTTGCA